CATACTTATCAAGCTGTCGGTCTTGATAGAGTTCAAAAGCATCTATGCGGACTTGTGGGTGATGAATTAATTTCCATCCTCTAATCCCTTTCCCCCAGATGAAACAAAACTTTTGCTGCTCTATTCCTATTTTTATGGCATATAATCTTACGAGCTACATTCCTTGGTCCCTCCCAGCCATGGTCTTCATCACTAGGAACAGCCATTCCATGTATACAATTGTGAATCATCCCTATTCCCTTTGTATTCCATGAGTAAAATTAAGTTCCATTTGGACAGCTTCTTCTTCTTCTTCTACTACTACTACTACTACATGGAACAGACTCCCGGCAGGATGTTTATCCCAATCACTAAAATCTTGACCTTTTCAAGTCTAGGGTTAATCATTATCTTTCCTGCATAATCCCATGAACTTTTCTTCTTACTTTTTCATACACTCATACAACACCACACTGTAACCCTCTACCTTGAGTGGCTCTTGTGCCTTGGAATGGATGAACATTAATTTTTTTTTTTTTTTTTAAAGTGGTAGAATATTTTGGTAAATATTTAAGATGATCTCTTTTTTTAACTTTTACCAATTATATTAATACAAGTATATACAAATGGCCTAACACTTAACAGCATGAAAACTGAAATTTTCAAATATTGTTTAAATTCTTGATGAGTTAGGTTGTATTTCATACTGATCTCCATGGGAAAGGCCTAAATCCATTTCTTTTCTAGCCAGCTATGTATTAAATAGCAGGGTAGATTGGCTCTTTAGCCTTGATTAGCATCCAGTCTAGGTGAAGGATAACTCTGAATTCAAAGCCAGCATTTTCTGCACCCCTAGCTATGGATAAAAATGGAATTGGATAGTCAAATTCAAATTCTGGTTGAGGCAGTTAATGTTCACTTCAAAATAAATCCTTTAAAAAAGGGATGAATTCAATTCTCTTCCTACCAGCTATGGGTAAAATAGCAGGACAATGCTCTTTAGCCTTGGCTGGCAACCAGTCTAAAAGAAGAAAAACTCTCAATTCAGAAATAGCTTAATGTTAATTTTGACATCTTTCAGCTCCTGTTGCCAAGCTAATAATAAGTATTGTTTGCAATAGTGTATGACTGGTAGATCTTAGACTGGACTAGCATGACAGAAGTAGATTAAACAACTTGTTCAAGTAAAAACATAAAATGTTGAATTCCTTTATGACATCTCATATAGATATGGAAAAAAATTGATTTTTTAAATGCTCTCTCTTATGTTAATTTCAATGAGTTGTACACTAACAATATACTGCATTGCTACTCACATGAGCTCCCACCTAAGTAATGTTTGGTAGACTAATTTTTAACTAGGCACAAATCCTGGAAGAATTTCTGATATCCTGCTACAACCTGACTCAAGCAAGGCACAATTAATTTTTTAAATTTCCACATAAAGAAATTTAATAAATAAAAGCCAAAATAGTTATAAATTAACTTTAAACAAAGAAATTTGTTATTTTTTCAATTTAATATAGTCTTTTGAAATTTCTAGGGCACATAATGTTGAAAGAGAATTTGGAAAATTTTATCCTCACAGAACATATTGAAGGCAAGAGGGCCAGAGAAAATAATGCATAACCTACTTAGTAAGCTTGTGAAAATGGATGGCAGAACAAGAATTAGGAGATATAACAAAAAGATAATATTTGTTAATAGCTACAAATGTCAGGAAATTGTGGAGAGCCATGATTGCCAACTTCCTGAATGGACACATCACATCGAAGAAAAAGTAATTTATTTATTTTTTTAATCTTTTGCTGCTCAAAATCTACAAGTCAAACATCAATGAAATTTTTTTCATTTTGCACTCCACTTTTGCTTCTAATCCAAACCTCACCTGTGTTTCCCATAGCAAAAAAATATATATATAACTAACTTTAATTTACTTAATGAATCATCATTTACAGCATCATTGTACTCTCTTGATGGTTAAGTAATAAAAGTAGAATAACAGTTTACAAAACTGAGAAGACTTGACTAAAAAATAATGATTTAATATAAAATAAAAAGTTCAAACATTCAAGTAGAATATTCTGTATTTTGGATATTTATGAGCCTTAGAAATTACTGTTTAAGTCTGTTAAATATTAAATGTAAAGAAATTCCTTTAAACTTTCTTTAACAAGTATAATCAGAAGCCAAATTCTAAATCAACATACAAACATCAAATTCCAATCAGCTTAGAACTTTAAGAATGCATTAGTGAAAAAAAAAGATTTTATCCCATTCATCATCATGATTATTCTGATAATATAGTTCTTGATTTCTTACCAAATAATTGTCACACTGAGAACTTGTGGCAAATAAGAAAATTTACGATCTTAAAAAGGTTTTATATAGGAATATTTTTGTTTTAATTTCTAAAAATCAAATTTACGGAAGAACACAAAATATGTGAGTTTTGTCCTTAATTTTGGCCCATGAGTAGATCATATTTGTGTATAGATCAGTGTGTGTAACACACAATGCAGTATACAATAGTGAAAAAAGAGATCTACTTAGAGCAGGCTGAATTAAAATCCAACAAACACTAATGACTCATATATATATATATATATATATATATATATATATATATATATATATATATATATATTCATATTGTCCTTTTACAGATATACTCTATCTGAAATTTGTACATATATATATATATATATATATATATACACACATATATAATATATATATATATAAAACAAACACTTTCTGGCTAGTCATTGGATTTGTGGGGAATTCATTCACATCGTAGCAGCAGAAATTAGCTTCATGTTCACAGAGATAAAAGCATACTTGACTGGAAATAAAATGTACACAAATAACAAGAAAAGCATGGTAAATTTTATGTTAATTTCATACAATTTATTGATATTTTTTGTGTACATTGGTGTCTGTATTTTTAGGTTACAATTGTTTTATAGTAGATGTGATAAAAGAAAGAATTTACTATATTGTATTACAAGCCATATCTGAGAGAGAAGTTGGACACGTGTTGCCCGTACCAAGATTTGTGGTGAAGAGATTGAATTTAACGTCTTTTATGCTAAAAGACATTAAATTCAATCTCTTCAGTGTTTGTTGCATGCTGGGAGTATTTTTATTATTTTAAATTTTTATTTGATTTATTTTATGCAACATTTTTTTAAGTTACTGTTTTATTTTATTTTATTTATAATTTTCATTATCATTATTATTTTACATTTTATTTTTATTTATTTATAATAATAATATCACTACAGTTTTGATAAGGTAATTTAATTTACTGCCCCTCTTATCCTCAAAAATCCCTATGTATTTTGCTTACAGTTTTGCCTTTGAATCTGACCTGAAGAAGCCAATCCCAACACACATCATGTCAGTGAAATGTGTTATTTAAAAGCTTTTCCACTTTTTCTTGACATCTCATATAGATGATTACATAAAAAGCCATTTTTTGCTGTATATTTTGTGTATTCAATGTTTATATAATTTTCTTTTCTCTTCTTTTTTTCTGTCAATTTTTAAAATAAGTGGAATAGTCTTAGTTAAAGATTGTTATTTATGCAATGAATCTGATGAGCTTTGTGAACAGACAGGTTTCTTTATCATTTCAAAATATGAGAGTGAAATGAAAATTTCTCAACACGGCCCACTTCTTAAAATCTGAATAAATATCATTTTTTTTATTTGGAAAGGCCTCGTGGTTGGACTGAGGACTTTTCAGCATGCTTCAATTATTCTAAAAAATAGATACAAATCAAATAAATTATGAATGTCAATGGAATTCATAACTACTATATATAATCATGTATAAGCTGGCTTCATGTATAGTGTGACTTCCTGAATTTTTTTTGCTTGAATTTAAAGCTCTCCAGAAAAAATTACCAGTCTATAGAGACTATCACTGAAAATGCATGATTTTTAACTTCAAAATATTACCTGTGTACAGTAAAAACCCCTTTTACATAAAATTGTTCATAAAAACTTATACTATACTCGAGTATAGATATATACTAAGCAAAAGTAGCACTAAGGAAACCTTTTTTATTTTACAATATTTAACAAGAAAATGGTCACTCCAAACCCGTCTTTCAAGAAGACCATAAAATGGATTGATCAAAATTACATCATTAGAACAAATGTGACAAAAAGAATGTAGTCCATATTCTTGAACAATTCTTGGAATAACAAGAGTGATATTTTTTTTAGGAAAGTTATAGAAACCCTGCATTTTTAATCTTTTTTTTCTTGATGGAAAATGCATTTCTCATTCACTTTAAACATAAACAAAACTCATTTTTATTTTCAGATGAAACAAGACTAATTATTGATGTCACCTTTTTTTAATTGTCCGTACTTATGTAAAAAACAAATTATACAACAACTTGATGAAATATTCACTTTTATATTGGTTCTTTAAAATAAGTATTTAAGCTGAAATTATTATATTTGATGGTATTTAAAACTCATCAAAAGTATCTCTTGTGTATTATATGAAGATGAAGTATCTAGTAGACTAATGTTTACCAAGGCACCATAGATTACGTGTATTTATACCTTGTCTAACTCTGTAATACTGTAAAATTAAATGTAAATTTCTGAGTTCAGACATACAGTCTTTCAAAGTCTACTGCTGAAATTTCATAGCTTTTAGCATTATGAGGTAATAAAATAACTATTTGCTTATGGATTGCAGAGAAAGAATATGGCTTAAAAATAAAGAATCAATATATTGAAGAAAATGATTCTCATAATGACAGTAAAGATAGCATTCTTGATTCTGTTGCAGAAGATGCTTATAGTAGAGCAAGCATTGGGTCAGTGCTGGGGGTGATATTTCTCTAGTGTGTGTACACATTTATGTAATAACCAAGGTTAGGTCCCCTGTGTAAGTTGTTATCTGATTGTTACTTTACCAGCAAACAGAGAGACATCTACATCAATGGAGTCTGGTAGTGACCAGGTTGGACACATCTGCCAAAATTGGCTACCACATGTCAACCTGTGGCAGGTCCTCTCTACACCACCTGCATCCCTCCCACCATTGCCACCATTATACCACAGTTTGTTCCTCCCTCTGCCTTCTCTTGCATTCATTCAATGAACATTCTTTGGCAGCTTCATTATGCAATATGCATTTGCAGAAGATGCATGCTCAAAGTTTTAATGATGATTTCGGCATGGATGGGTGGCAGGATGGTATGGGGTCTTTGGTTTATAGTAAAGGTAGTTACCGAATTGGCAGAGTTGTTATGGTAACAGAATGGTTCGGTAGTGGCTGTGTGGTGAGGCTACTGGTATTGGTTGTAATGTTGTTGCTGGGTGAGGGTCAAAATAGCAGTGGCATTGATGGAGAAACTGGTGTAAACATTCCATGATCACAGCAAGTTAGGATTATTTGCGGGGGTGTTTATTATAATATGATAATCATCATAATATTAAATGTTATATGATGACCATAGGCACTGTGGTCATCATTTGAAGGTAATTTTAATAACAATAGTGCCTTTGGGGGGAATTTTGATTATTATAGTACTTTTGAGGGTAATTTTTTATAATCTCTATCATAGGTTAGGATCATTATCGTAAGAATATTATGGTCCTTTTTTGTAAAGGTTGATGATGGTATTGATAGTGATCATTATAATTCATTGACCATAATGTTATCAAAGATCATTATAATATAAAAGTTTCCAAAGAATAATGATAATTTATTAGGAGATATTATAGTATAATGGTATTTTGTTAGAAGCATAACTAAAATAATGTCATTGGAGACTGTTGCAATTATAATGGTAGGACATGTAGAAATTGTATTATCCCAGTAATACTGTTCAGGTAGTTATTACTAACAGAATAGTAAAGATTGTTAGGTGAATAGAGGAAATGCACTGTAAAGAGGGTGACATTTCTACAATAATTGCTATAGTCCAAAAACTTTTAAAAAAGAGAAAATAAGTAATTCAGCAGCCATTTAAAATATGTTGTTTGCAAGAATATTAATAAAGATAACAGAATATATCAAACTTCCACAAGAGACCCCCCCCCACCAAAAAAATAATACTGAATTTTTAAAATGAGTTTTTAAAATGAAAAATCTTTCCTGAAGGTTTTATTTTAGTTTTAATTTCAAGCTAATAGATTAAATTTAATATTTCCAATAAGTAAAATACTTCTCAGTATTTCAAAAACTAATTTGAATTGACTGGAAGGATTTTTTCTGAAATAGCTGCTTAGTGGCTTTTTTAGTAGTCTTTCATTGCAATATAATTCTCATTATTAAAAAATCTTCCAAAAATAAAATATACTTTTCTGAAACTTTATTTGAGGAATATTACCTGATTTCAAGTATAATTAATCTGATTTGAAACAAATATTATTTAAATATTGCAGAAATACATTTTTTAACCCAACAGTAGCTATCTTGACTTATTGACAGCCTGATGACAGGTCTAATTTTGTTCTATGGACACTTTATCTGTAAAACATAATTGAAGAAAATAACACAGGTACCCTTTTTATGTAACTTTTAAGTACTCAGTAATCTTAAAAATTTAGGAAAATATTCTCTGTAAATTAATGTTTATTGAATTTTAGAAATGTTGGCTCTAAATTTACTATAGTTATTGCTCTTATTTTCTGATAGTGTTGTGTACTTACAAAAATCAACATGTTTATTTATACACATATTAAAAAATTCAAAATTCTTTTACAAATATTGGTCTTTGATGATTTTATTAAGGTTTTCCATTTATGATTAGTAAATATAGTTTTCACTGAAAAAGCTGAAATTAATACAGAATTTTAAGAGATTTAAAACCCAATAAATTTTTCTAATTAAAATTTTTTAAAAATGAAAACAATTCTTGGAAAAATTCATCAAAAAAAATTTTTTTTTAAGTAACAGTCTTGTTAATATATCTTATTTATAAAAGCAATTAAATTCTTTTCTAATTAAATAATATCATAGCTTTATTGCATTTTTTTATTTTATGATTCAGAATGGATTTCATAAAGTTAAGTGGGGGTAATAGGTGAAAAAAAACTATTTTTACTGAGATTTTCTAAAAAAATAAATTTAAAAAATAATTTCATTCATTTGTGAATAAGTCCTGAGAATTTAATTAAAATCTGACAACTATTTGATTTTTGCAAGAGTTTTCAAAACAATGTGCTTTTAACACCAAAAAAGATGCTAAAGATTCCAATAATAATCTTTTGCACACCCACTGTCATAAGAAAAACAATATTTCAAATGTGCTACAAAGGATTAAAAAATTTTATAAAATAATAAAAAATACTTTTGTCTTTCCTCTTAATAATAACATAAACATTTTGATGATAACATTTTGTTTTACTAAGTTTGGGTCTTTTTTCATCATGGTATGCTCTTTTTTTGAAAATCTTTGGAGGTACCTATTTTTATAAAACCTCAACATGTTTTTTTGTTTTTGCTTTTGTTGTGTCTCTCCTTTAAAGCAATTTTTATTGAAGATTCATAACATTCTTTTATAATAAATTTCTCTAATACTTTTCCTGTAAATATTTTCATTCTTAACCCTTACCAGATGAATTGGCCAGATCAAACTGAGCAAAAACAAACATTTATTTACAATCAAATCTAAAAATATAAATTGGCCATAGAGTGGTATATGTTATTGAATCAGCACAAGCAGCATAGAGGGTTCCACATAGGAACATTGTACTTGGCAGTTTATTTTGAACATTTTTCAATGATAGATGATCCAATTTTATTGCATTCATTTACAACAGAAATGACCAAAACTTGAGCAAAATATGACCAGAATATATTTGATATCGTATCTGGTGCTATGATTGTACTGTTCACTGGAAATTCATGTCTTGCCACTGCATACTCAGCTTTCCTTAAACTTCCTATTATCTACTCAATGTGCAGTTATTATAAAAGGTTTTGTAATATTGTATTGGAATGGTTCTGCAATCTTTACAGTGGCTGACAAATTTGAACAACATATCTGCATCAGATTCCTTGTCAAGCTTAACAGAGTTGCAACTGAGAACCTTGAAATGATTCATTAGGCTTGAGGTTAAGCACCAATTTTGGAGTGGTGTGTGCATTTCAAGATCATCTGAGTGTTGGTTTGATATTGAGATCATTCAGAACAAATATGCAAGAAAATGTGGAAAGATTTGTGAACTCCTCCATGATTTCTCTCTCACATAATTTTTGATTAAATTTGTTTAGTGGCATATCAGCCTCTATGGATTATGTAAGGCCAAAATCTAAATATTTTGTACACAATTTTATGGCTTCAGTTACATATATTTTGAATGCAATTTTATGCCTTCAACAACAGATATTTTGTTTATAATTTTGTACTTTCAGGGAAAATGCATGTTTTTTTTTTTAAATACAGTTTGTAGATAATAAAAGTTATTGATAATTTAAAAAAAACGTATTACTGGTAATTTCACTACAAAAATGTATTGTTGGTAATTTTTTTATAAAAATGTTTTGCTGGTAATTTTACTATAAAAATGTATTGTTGGTAATTTTTGTTTTAAGAATATGTATTACTGGTAATTTCACTACAAAAATATAATTTTCTTATAAAAATGTATTACTGGTATTTTTACTATGAATATATATTTATATTTTGCTGATGTTTTGATTTTTGTTAGAAGGTTCACTATTTACCCATAGCTGGGACCCTAACAGGTGCTACCATCCTGGATCAGGGTGGGCATGGGAACAACAGCAATTAAGAGGTGGTTCCACACTCTTCAAAACCTCTAATTTCCTGATCAGAAGCATTGCTGCTGAATGTAGTTTATCATCATGCCAAGGGCCATACTATGAAATCAGTTCCAGAATCTACCAAGAAATTATAATTTGGAATTGGGATAAAAGAAATGATTATCAACCATAAAATCTCAATATATGAAATTGGTAAATACTAAACACTTAAAATATTTTGGTATATGGATCAGTTAAAACAAATTTAGTATAAGGAGGTAAAGAAATTGAACATAAGCTGCACAAGGGGTAGTTTCACCCACACCTCAAATTGTGACAAAACCAAAGCATTAACTTAAAAACTTGCTTTTTAAATAGCCTCGTCAGGTTGAGATTTTCATTTGGATGCCATTAATAGTACACACATATTCAAAAATATATACAACTGTATGTAATTGCTTTCACAGATGAATGGTTAAAAATGGCTTGTGAATGAAGCCTACTGTAGAGAAACAGAATATATAACAGAAACAACATAACTTGAGGACTTGTAACAGCAGTAACCAGTAAAATGTATATCATATGTAACTCAAAGAGAAAATAATGACATAATCATTCCATGCTAATTCAAACAAAAGTTTAAGAAGGAAACCCTGTCAATACTGGAAAGAGTGATAGCAGTAACATACCTGGACTTGAGAAACATATTTTCCTGAAAAATTATTTTAATAGAAAGATTTCATAAATTTCAACAAACTAACACTACCTGCTCATTCAGTGGATGTTGAATGTTTCTAATATTATCATTTCCAAGAGATGCTAAAATGTAAACTTTCTGATGTTACTTTGATATTACTGGGGACGGGCTAACTTGTTTAGCTCACTCACAAATTAAACTTAAATCTGAATTATTATAAAATTTAGAATTAAACTCAGTCTAGAAAGCATTAAGTTATTAGAACCATTTTTATATATTGCTGTGATTTTACAATATATGTATATACCCTGATGAAATGTACCCACATGTCATCAATATATTCTGTACATGAAAATCATTTAGTCTGCATGGTGAATAAGGTTGTTCTACAATACCTATAGCACTAGTATTTTGAATACATTTTTCAAGACAAATACAATATTTATATGTGAATTTCTGGGATGAGGGAGTTATCATTCTTTATGCTGTTTACATGTGGACTATTGTCCTCATCTTTGTTGTTGCTACCACAGTATTTCTGCCATTGTTTCCTCCGGCCTTTGTCAGGTGTAACCTACAAGAAATTCTAAACTGAACCCTTTATTTAATCTATGAGGGTAGACTGTTTTTGTTCCACTGCCTACGTCTAAGGATATCTCGACTAGTTCTTATTTTTAGTATTGCTCATTTATTGCTCGCTCTGTTTCTCCTGAGTCCATGTCCACTGCCTGGCCCAAGGATTGAACTCAAAAGCATTTTTTTTCATAAATTTGGTGACAAATT